TATATTAGGAAAATTAACATAAATAAAAAAATTATTGGTGTTTCTGATTTTTAGAAAAAAAAAATGTGCCAATCATATTTCTTCCAACAATACAACCAAATATAGCGGTTACAGCTCTGAGTTTGTCAATCAACTTTAAGTTCCAACATTAGCAGTTACACATTTGAATATTTTGCTACCAAATTTAGAATTAATTTAGTAACTGATCCAAAAAATAAATAATAAAAATATATATATTAAGGTGTAACGATTTTAGCAGATTAATGAGTAATTAATTAAAAAAAATGTAACTCCTTTTGGAGGGAAATGAAAATAAGTTTTATTAAATGTTTTATTAAATGCATTAGCTAGTAATTATATATAGATATGTACTTATATGGATAAATGCCATATTTTATTTATATTATTTTTTAAAATATGTGATTGTGTCTAAAAATATGAATATATGCATATTTATTAACACTGTATAACTGCCCAATTGTTATGTCCTGTTTTGCTATGAAACCAACAGTTAGCTCCATAATGGAATCAGTCTTCTATATACAACAAGTAAATCATACCATATTCATAAAATTATTAGTATTTATGTAAGTGATCAGAGAATATGGTTGTTATGTCTGCCTATAAATCGAACTAATTAGTGGTAATTAAGGTGTGACTTAAAACATACTTGATACACATATGGATACATGATCAAAGCAATAATTAGTGGTCAATTATGAACTAACTAGTGGTAATTAAGGTGTAACTTAAAACATACTTGATACACATTTGGATACATGATCAAAGCAATAATTAGTGGTCAATTATGGGAGTTTGCAAATGCTCCCAAACTTTTTATTTAAAAAATAAATCTTGTGATCAATCACTTCATTTTTTATTAGAAAATTTGCCTCACCACCCAATTAAATTGGAGTTTCCTTTTATTTTATGTTTTTAATTAGTTTTTCTCAATAATTTCTAAATAGATTTGGGCGAAGGTGTGCGTACTTCATGCGAAGTTTCATTAACAGTCACATGAGCTGTACTCATCTAAGGAAACTCTCCTTTATGGAAGCAAGCGTGCAACATATTCTAACTATATATACTCTTTATAGTTCCCCCTTTTTCAACATCATATCCAAAACAGTTCTAATTATTATAATTATTATTTTCTAATTATTCTTTCAACTTTTATTTTTTCCTACTAAACAATATATGGCAAACATGGTAGCAATTAGCCAAGATGATCAACTGTTGTCCAAGATTGCGACGAGCAACGGGCACGGCGAAAACTCGGCTTATTTCGACGGTTGGAAGGCTTATGACAGTGATCCTTATCATCCCACAAAAAATCCCAATGGAGTTATTCAGATGGGTTTAGCAGAAAACCAGGTAACTTATAATAATAACTATTCAAAAAAAATAAATAAATAAATAACTTCATCATTCATTTTTCATTTAATAATAATATAAGTTTATTTAATTTTATTTCTCTTTTTGCAGCTTTCTTTTGATTTGGTCCAAGAATGGATTTTGGATAATCCAAAGGCCTCAATATGCACATCTGAAGGAGTTCATGATTTCAGGGACACAGCTATTTATCAAGATTATCATGGCTTGCCACAATTCAGAAATGTAAATACAAAAATCTATAAATTACACCAAAGTTTTGTATTTTATGATCTTTGTCAATTGAGTCCAAATTCTTATAATTTTCGAAAAAAACACGAAAAATTTTGCAGGCTGTTGCAAGGTTCATGGAGAAAGTGAGAGGAAACAGAGTCCGGTTCGACCCGAACCGTATAGTGATGAGTGGTGGGGCAACCGGAGCTCAAGAGACATTAACGTTTTGCTTAGCTGACCCTGGTGATGCATTCTTGGTGCCCACACCTTATTATCCTGGGTAAGATCATATCATATAATTATTACTGTTCTGCATTAATCTATTATGGGTTATGTTTTTGGTTTGTGATTGATTTGAAGATCATTATCTTAGATTAATAATTAGAATAATATTTAATGTATCAAGAATTGATGTCTACATAGCCACATTAATAGCTAGCTGGATCCATGCTAACTACTACTACTCTATTATGGAATTTCATAAAACCTTCCCTGAAAATCAAATGTACAATATTCATCATAAATGTTCGATTTTGGCTCGAGTTTTCGATACTTTTAAATGTCTCGAAATTTTTTTATTATTTTAACATTCTAAACTCCCATCATGCAGAAACGATCGCGACCTAACATGGCGAACGGGAGTAAAACTCATCCCAGTAGTCTGCGAAAGCTCCAACGATTTCAAAATCACCCACGAAGCCCTCGAGTCTGCATACCAAAACGCGCAAAAGTCAAACATCAAAGTTAAAGGCCTTCTCTTAAACAACCCATCGAACCCCTTAGGCACGGTCCTCAACCGAGAAACCTTACAAGACTCCCTAAATTTCACCAACCAAAAGAACATCCACTTAATATGCGACGAGATCTACTCTGCCACCGTTTTTGACCGGCCCGGTTTCATTGGAATCTCTGAAATAATCCAAGAGAACCCTAATTATTACAACCTCGACTTGGTCCACGTCGTCTATAGCTTGTCGAAAGATCTCGGGTTCCCCGGTTTCCGCGTCGGCATAATCTACTCGTACAACGATGCGGTAGTGAACTGCGCTCGGAAAATGTCGAGCTTCGGCCTTGTCTCCACGCAAACTCAACACCTTATAGCTTCGATGCTATTGGACGAGGCTTTCGTCGACCGGTTTTTGACCGAGAGCTCGACGAGGCTCGGGGAAAGGCACGCGGTTATCTCCCGAGGATTGGGTCAAGTGGGTATCGGGAGCTTGAAGAGCAATGCCGGGCTTTACTTGTGGATGGATTTGAGGAGGCTTCTAAAGGAGGCAACTTTCGAGGCGGAGCTCGAGCTTTGGAGGGTGATCTTGAGCGAGGTCCGGCTAAACGTGTCGCCGGGCGGGTCGTTCCATTGCTCAGAGCCCGGTTGGTTTAGGGTTTGCTTCGCCAACATGGACGACGAGACGTTGGAGGTGGCGCTGACAAGGATAGTTAAGTTCGTTGTGGGGAAGAGAAGTGGGCTCGAGTCAGGAGGTCGGAAGCAGAGCTGTCGGAGGAGGAAGCTCGAGATTAGCCTATCGTTTAGACGTCTCGACGATGTATCGACTCACTCGCCCATGTCGTCGCCGCTCGTACAAGCGAGGACTTGAAATTTGATGGACATCATAATATATATGTATGTGTATGTGGTCTTCTATTTCCTATGATGTTTCATTGTGGTGATTATTCACATTTGTGTATAGAATCATGAAATGTAACATGGTAGGAAATAGAAGATGGGAAAGGTGTGAACAAATAAGTGGTTAGTGTGTGGTGTGGTGATTAAAAGAGAGAGCAAGGTGATGTTGAGTGATTAGAGGGATAAATAAGGGTTGGTTTGAGTGAATTTAAAAAAAAAAAAAAAAAAAAA